TCTGCTAAGGATCATTTTCGCTATTTGTTGTCTTTTACTGTTTCATATGAATTTTTGGATTGCCTCTTCTATTTCCTTGAAAAATGAGGTTGGAATATTGATTAGTATTGCATAGAATTTGTAGATCACCTTGGGATGTATTGCCGTTTTCACGATTGTGATCCATCCAGTCCAGAAGCATGGGAGGTTTATCCACTTTCTAAGTTCTGTTTTGATTTCCTTTTTCAGGTTTTTAAATTTTCATAATAGAGGTACTTCACTTCTTCGGTTAATTCCTAGATAATGTATTTTTGGTGGCGCTATTATGAATGGAGTTGCCTTCATGATTTCACCAACGCTTTCCTCATTGTGGTCATACAGAAAAGCCATTGATTATTGAGGGTTAATTTTATATCCTGCTGCTTTGCAACAGTTTTAAATCAGCTTCAGTAATTTGGGAGTGGAGTCATGGGATTCTTTAAATAGAAAATCATGTGGTCTGCAAAGAGGGAGAATTTTACTTCATCTTTCCCCATTTGGATCTCTTTTATGTTTTTTTTGTAGGGGGTCCAGTCATACAGCCTGAACAATGGGCCTGGGAACTGTCCCTCAGCTCTTCAGCTCAAGGCTAGCCCTCTACCACTTGAGCCATTGTGCCACTGCCAGCTTTTTTCTTTTTGCCTATGTGGTGCTGAGGAATCAAACACAGGGCCTCAAGAATGTTAGGCAATCACTGTACCACAAAGCCACCTTTCCAGCTTCTCCCTTTTATGTTTGCATCATGTCTTATTGTTGTAGATAGACATTCTAATACTAAATTTAAGAGAAGTGTAGTGAGTGGACATCCTTGTAATGTTCCTGAGTTAAGAGGAAATGACTTTAGTTTTCCCCATTAATTATAATGCTGGCTGTAGGTTTGTCATATACAGCCTTTATTGTATTGAGGAATGTTCCCTGGATTCCTAATTTTTCCAGAACCTTCATCATAAAGGATTTGTTGGATTTGTCAAATGCTTATTCTGCATCTATTGAAATAACTATGTGGTTATCCTTGCCATTTGTTGATGTAATGAGTTATATTAATTGACTTGTGTATATTGATCAATATTTGCATCCCTGAAATGAATCCTGTTTGATCGTGGTGTATGATATTTTGGATGAATTTTTGATGTCAACTGCTCAAAATTTTGTTGAGAAGTTTTGCATCAATGGTCATCAAAGAAATGAGTCCATAGTTCTCTTTCTATGATGAGTCCCTGCCTGGTTTTTGGATGAGGGCTATGATGGCTTCAAAGAATGATTTTTGTAGTGAACTTTCTCTTACAATTTCATTGAAGAGTTGGAGGAATGTTGATGTGAGCTCTGCTTTGAAGGCCATGTAGAATTCTGCTGTAAATCCATCTGGTCCTGGGCTTTTCTGAGATGGGAGGTCTCATTGCTGTTTCTATTTCAATGCTTAATATGGGCCAGTTAAAATGGTTTAACTCATCTTGTTTGATGTTTGGCATGTCAATAATTGCTAGGAAAAGATCTATTTCTGCCATGTTCTCAAACTTATTAGCATAAAGGTTTGAGAAGTATTCCTTTTAATCTTCTGAATCTTGGTTTTCTCTGGGATGCTGTTTCCATTCTCATCTCTGAGTTTATTTATTTGGGTGTGTTCTCTTGTTTTTTTGATAAGATTTGCTAAGAATCTATAAATTTTGTTAATTTTTTGGAGAACAAACTCTTGTTTTGTTGATTCTTTCTATGTTTTTATTTTGGATTCTAATTCGTTTATTTCTGATGTAATTTTAATTATTTCTTTCCATCTACTGAATTGGGATTTATCTTGTTGCTCTTTTTCAAGGAGGTTCAGGTATCTCACTAAATTGTTGGTTCCAGATCTCTCCAATTTATTGATTTAGTAATTAAGAGCTATAAAACACTCTGAATACTGTCTTTGCCGTGTACAAGAGGAGCAAGTAATTTGTGTGTTCATTTTTATTTTTTGTTTTTTTGGCTTTTTTTGTGTCCGGTCGTGGGGCCTGAACTCTGGGTCTGGGCGCTGTCCCTCAGCTCTTCAGCTCAAGAGTAGCGATCTACCACTTGAGCCATAGCCCCACTTCTGGCTTTTTTTTCTTTTTGCTTATGTGGTGCTGGGGAATCGAACCCAGGGCCTCACGCATGCAAGGCAAGCGCTCTACCACTGAGCCACCTTCCCAGCCCCTCATTTTTGGTGAATATCATGAATATTTGAATTTCCTTTCTATGCTCTTCCATGACCCACTGGTGTTTCAACAGTGTGTTGTTCAGCCTCTATTTGTCACAAGATTTTTGGTGCATTTTGGTGTTGAGTTCTAATTTTATTCCCTTGTGGTCTGAGTGAAGGCAATTTGAAACTATAATGTTTCTGAATTTGGACAAGTTTGATTTGTGACCTCAAATGGTGTATATTTTGTAAAATTTTCTGTGAGCTGATGAGGAAAACATGTATCTGATGCTACTGCGTGAAATATTTGGTAGATATCTGTTAAATTTAATTGATCCATGCAGGTGTTTAGATCTGCAGTTTCTCTGTTGAGTTTTTGCCGAGTTAATCTATCTAGTGTGGATAGTGGTGTGTTAAAGTCCCCTACAATTAATGTCTTTGGATCTATGTGAGCTTTGAGGGAAAGTAGTGTTTCTTGGATAAATCTGGGTGGTCTTTTGTTTGGAGAATAAATATTTAGATTTGTAATATCCTCCTGAATGGAAAATCCCTTAATTAGTATAAAACGACATTCTTTATCTGTTTTCACTAATTTTAATTTGAAGTATATTTTATCTGATATTAGGATAGAAGCTCTCACTTGTTTATGGGGGCTATTTGCTTGGCAGATTTGTTACAGCTTTCACTTTCAAAATGTGTTTGTTTTCATGGGAAAGGTGTGACTCCTGAAGGCAGCAGATAAAAGGATCTTGCTTTTTAATCCAACTAGCCTTTTTACGTGGCTTAATTGGAGAGTTAAGTCCATTAATGTTGAGAGTTAGGACTGAGAGGTGTTTGGGAGTTCCTGCCATGTTATCCACCTTCTGGGGGCTGCGGCAACTGGGTTCTTCCTATGGTTCTTGGATTCTCAGTTTGGGTGCTGTTTCTTGGCCTTTATTGTGATCTTGTTGGTTTTCTATTTGTAGGACATGTTTAAGTAGCATTTGTAGGGCTACTTCTTGGGAGATATATTGTATCAGATTGTCTTTGGTATGGAAGGTTTTTCTTTGACCTTCGATTATGAAGGAGAGTGTAGCTGGGTAGAGTATTCTTGATTGATAGTTGTTTGTCTTTAGGGCATGGCATACATCATTCCAGGCTCTTCTTGCTTTAATTCTCTCTGCTGACAAATCTGAGGGGACTCTAATTGATTTCCTCTTATAGGTGATTGATCTTTTTACTTGACAGTTTTATGGATCTTTTCCTTGGTCTGAATTGATACTGTGCAGATTATAATGCGACATTGCCATGTCCTGTTCTGGTCTGGTATATTTTGGGTTCTAAAAGCTTCTTCAATCTGAATAATCCTAACTTTTTGCATGTTTGGGAAGTTCTCTGCTAGGATCCTGTAAAACAAATGTTCTCGACCATTAACTTCTGTTTCTAGGTGCTCCTTTACAAACATTATCCTCATATTAGACCTACTGATGGTGTCTTCCAAATGTTGAATAGATCTATCCCATATTCCTTGGATTTGTCTTGGATAGTAGTATGTTATTTCTCTATAATATCAAGGCTGTCTTTAATCTCCAAGATTCTATCTTCTGCATGGTTTAACCTACTGTCATGACTTTCTACTTTGTTTTTAATTTCTTTTCCTTCTAGTTGGTCGGCTTTAATGGCTTCAAATTCTTTGTTAGAGCTTTCTTTTAGATCTTTTATGAACTTCTATACTTCCTTAATTTGGGTGTTCAGTATTTATTCTCAAATGACTTAGTTGATTGTTTATGGTTTCCTTTGTTGCCCATTCCCTCTGCCAGGCTCTATTCAGGATTCCATTTGTGGTCTCCCTGAATTCTTTCAGCTGTCTCTTTATGGATTCCATTAATGTCTCTCTTGATCTTTGTGTATTCTCATTCCGCTCTCACAATTGCTGTATTTCTCTTTGATTAGCTTCCTCATGTTCATGCAATTCCTGAAGTTCTCTTTGACTGTTCTCAACCTGCTTACACAATACCTGTGTTTCTCTTTTTCTGTTATCCTCCTCCTCATGCAATTGCTGTGTTTCTCTTTGATTGTTGTCAGCCTGCTTATGCAATTCCTGTATTGCTCTTTGACTGTTCTAAATCTGCTCACGCATTTCCTGTACCAATCTTTGAGTAGTTTCTGCACTCTCACGAGATTCCAGTATTAATCTTTGGTTTGCCTCTCTCTCTCCCTATCATGCTCACACTGAGTCCTTTGCAGGTTTTCAATCTTTTCATTCACCATTTTTACCAATATTGTTTGTACAGATTTTTGGGAACTGTCTTCTGGATTATTCACTAACTATTCTGTCAACTGTTTATCATGAGTGGGAGTCCAGATACCTGGGCTTCCCATTTTTCTTCTGTTTTTCTGGCTTTTTCTGCTCATTTAGTATGAAAGTAACACTAATTTTGTGCTAGAACATAATTTTAAGGCAAGCATCAACCAAAGTTTGGTAGTTGCACAGTCAAAAGGCTATAGACACAATCTAGTTCAACAGATACAATCTATTCAACATCAAACAACTATGGATTAATGGGCTAAGAATAGCAAAGAAAAAAATTGGCAAACCAGAAATTATTAGATGTAGGGAGAAATGTGGGGAAAAATAGAATTATAGGGTGGTGGCGAGGTAAGATGAGAGTGAATTTAACCAAGGCCTAATCTCAGAGAGGGAAATGGATTGGACAGAATGATAGGAGAGACATTAAGAAAAAAAAAAACCAGAAAATATAGAAAAACAAAAATTTAAATTTAAAAAGATAAATACTTGGTTCCCGGCCCGGAAGGCCCGCGGGTCAGAGCTGTGCGTTAACCCGGCTGGATGGAGGCGGAGGCGTTGGCCGCGTCCATGCCAGCCCCGGGAGTCTCGACCGCCGTGTCTTTGGCCCTGGAGACGGCACGGTGGATGGAGGAAGCGATGCGCATGGCCAAAGACGCCCTTGAAAATACCGAAGTCCCTGTTGGCTGTCTTATGGTCTACAACAATGAAATCGTGGGGAAGGGAAGAAATGAAGTGAATCAAACCAAAAATGCTACTCGACATGCAGAAATGGTGGCCATTGATCAAGTCCTAGATTGGTGTCAACGAAATGGCCAGAGTCCTTCTGCTGTGTTTGAACGTACCGTGTTGTATGTCACTGTGGAACCCTGCATTATGTGTGCAGCTGCTCTCGGCCTGAGGAAAATCCCGCTGGTCGTCTAAGGCTGTCAGAATGAATGATTTGGTGGCTGTGGCTCCGTTCTAAATGTTGCCTCTGCTGACTTACCAAATACGGGAAAACCATTTCAGCGCATCCCTGGATATCGGGCTGAGGAAGCTGTGGAACTGTTAAAGGCCTTCTACAAGCAAAAAAATCCTAATGCACCAAAATCAAAAGTTCGGAAGAAGGAATTTCAGAAATCCTGAACTTGTAATGAAAGACGAAAGCCCCATGGTGACCTGGATGGAATCCCCAGCCTGAAAAGCTGCTGGCATGGAGGGAGCACATATTATGTGTTGTTTGTTATTCTCCGGGAAAACGGAGAATAACATTTGCTCTCTTAAGGGAACAAATTAGTGCTTTTTAAAAGGCTGACAATTGTAAACAACTATTAGCTTCTCCACAGCTGAAAGAACATTTTTATGAAGGGGGGAAAAACTAAAGTTTGAAGTTTTAGGAATTAGCAAACAGTACATGTCTTTAAGCCACAGCTTCAATCCATTCCAGCTGAGTGCAGGCTGGGATTTCAGTGTCTATCCACACCCCATCACCTGCACTCATTTGGAATAGAAAGCCATGGTCACGTGTGTCCTTTACAACTGGCTTTTTGGAGGTGGAGTTGGATTTTCATTCTTTATAGCTGTTGTGGTCTCCCAGTGTATTGGCTGCGTGAGTGTGAGTGTGTTTGTGTGTGTGTTGGCTTTAGGGCTTGAACTCAACATGTTGTTACTCTCTGGCTTTTTTGCTCAAACTTGAGTCACACCTCCAGTCCTAGCTTTATGTTGGTTAATTGCAGATGAGTCTCACGGACTTTTCCCCCCAGCCTGGCTTCAAACTGTGACCCTCAGATCTCAGCATTTTTTAGTCGCTAGGATTACAGGTGTTAGCCACCAGTGCTGGGCAAGTCTGGCTTTTTTCTACATTGTATATTATTTGTATACACTGTATACATGTGATTGTGAAATCTATTGATTTTATTAAATACATAGAAAAAATGTTTTTAAACAAGTGCCTAAGGGTCATTTAAAAATTGTACCATGTTGCTATAATAGAATCTTAAGATATTTCTGTTTTTAAGGGGCAAAGCATTAAAGGACAATAACATAAATAAGACAGTTCTTTGGTTCCCTGAACCAAAACAGGGTCTTCTGCCTCAGCAAGATTATATTCTCACAAGGATGGATGAAAAAAACGTAGTTATATACTGGAGGGTGAAGAGTTCCAACAACAGTTGGGCATAGTGATACACATCTGTAACCCCATCACTTGGAAGGCAGAGGGAGTTCAACAAGGCACTGTCAAAGCAAAAAGTTACAGCGAAATTAAAAAGGAACAAGGTGAAGAAGAATGCCCACTGGTGTGAATGCCAGTTGCAAAATTAAGTAGCATGATACATTTAATCCGAAATCAGCTGTTCCTCATTTGAAAATACAGGTTATAACTGTTAAATTTAATACCTAAAATTTGAAACTGCACAGGAAAGAATATCCACAACAAAACTTTCAGTGTTACTGGGTGCAAGAAGTGTCCTGACGTTTGGCAGAGCTACCCCAGGTGCAGTATACGTCTCTTCCCAGAAGGGGGCCTCAGCGTTACACCAGAAGCCTAGTGCCAGGCCCCAGAGGACCGCTCCTCAGATGGGTTCATTTCTTCAGTGGATTCATTTCCTTGATACAAAGCATCTGTATTTGTTGCTTCTGCCATTTGAGCGATGTCTCCAACTTGTTTGTTTTGAATTACTTTACAGACTAAAATGAAATTGTGGTGGAAGTATTTTTATATTGCTGAGAATAGCAGCTAATCACAGTTACATGCTTCGAAGGACTTATAATTGCTTGGTTTTGCGTGTGGTGTTTTTAACGGCATTTGAGACATTTTATGAGGAAGGATATGCATGGTTTCAAATCAACAACAATGATGCATGCACCTTCAATTTTATCTACTCTAAAATTTGTCTTCTCATTAAATGTTAGTGCCATGAAAAAAAAAAGATAAATACTTAAAAACTATGTAAGTTTATAGATGATATTGAGAGAAGAAAAGGATAGGATGAGAAGAAGGGAGGGATAGAAAGGAGACACGAAAAACACAAGACCACAATAAAACCCCAAGACTACACTATAGCTACCAGCACGACTATGTTTATTGCAGCATTATTTACCATAGCTAAAATAGGGAACCAACCCAGATGTCCCTCAGTAGATAAATGGATAAAGAAAATGTGGTATATATACACAATGGAATTCTATGCCTCCATCAGAAAGAAGGACATTGCCCCATTTGTTCAGAAAGGGAAAGACTTGGAAAAAATTATATTAAGTGAAGTAAGCCAGGCCCAAAGTAAAATAGGTCCCATGGTCTCCCTCATTTGCAACAACTAGTATATGTCTGAGTCAAGCAGAAAAGATCAGATAAATTAACGTTAGGGGATGAACCCCAATATAAGTATTCAAAAGTTTTTTTTTCCTTTCATGCAATTGTTTCTATCATATTTATAAGATGATTTCTATGTTTCTTTGTATGTCCCTTCCCTACGGTATAACCCGTGCTTTCACTGTATTTGATGTTGGTATGATTTGTGGAGGGGAAGGGAAAAAAAATCATTTAACTAGGGATACAGGTGGACCCATTGCAACAAAGAGATGTACAAGTCATTATGTCAACAAAAGAACTTTACAACGTTGGTGGGTGGTGGGGGGAAGTTCGGGTAGGAGGATGGTGCAGTATGGCAAGGGATAGAAGGGGAAACAAAGAGGAGGCAACAATTCTTGATAAGAAAGGTATTCGTTACCTTGCCCATGTAATTTTAACTCCTCTGTATGCATTCTCACAATTAAAAAAAAAAAACAAGAAAAAATGAAAAAACAAAAATTTAAATTTAAAAAATGAAACACTTAAAAATTATGTAAGTTTATAGATGATCTTGAGAGAAGAAAAGGATAGGATGAGAGAAAGGGAGGGATAGAAAGGAGATATGAAAAACTGAAAACTAAAAATTCTCAAAATTTGTTACTTGAAAATTATATAAGTATAAAGAGAAAATGCTGCTATTGAACAAGTTAAGCCAAGGAGGTGGCGGGGAAGATGGCAGAGGAGAAGCTGGAGGCTAAACAAGCTCTCCCATAGAAAGCAGTTTTAGAGTTCCAGTGAACAGCCCTAAGCCAGAGAATCACACCAAGTGTGCCATCACAGGACAGAGAGTTAGGCCAGCTAAGGAAAATCAAGGCAAATAGAGAGATCTGAGCTCTTGCCAGCAGCCGCCACAGATGCGACCCAGTTTTTGCAGCCCCCAAGAAGGTGGATAACATGGCAGGAAATCCCAATTACCTCTCAGTCCTATCTCTTAACATTAACGGACTTAACTCTCCAATTAAGAGACACAGACTGTCTAATTGGATTAAAAAACAAGATCCTTCTATCTGCTGCCTTCAGGAGTCACATCTCCTGCCCATAAAAACAAACACATTTTCAATGTTAAAGGCTGGAGCAATATCTACCATGCAAACGGCCCCCATAAACAGGAGGGAGTTGCAATCCTAATATCAGATGAATTTGACTTAAAATTAAAATTCGTGAGAAGAGATAAAGAAGGTCGCTACATATTAATTAACGGATCTCTCCTTCAGGAGAATACAATTCTAAATATCTATTCGCCAAACAATGGAACACTCAAATATATCCAAGAAACACTACTTTCCCTCAAATCCCACATATATCCAAAGACATTAATTGTTGGAGATTGTAACACACCACTCTCCCCACTAGATAGATCAACTCGGCAAAAACTCAACAGAGAAACCGCAGATTTAAACAGCTGCATAGATCAACTAGATTTTACAGACATCTATCGAACATTTCACCCAGCAGCATCAGAATACACGTTTTTCTCAGTAGCACATGGAACATTTTCTAAAACAGACCACATTTTAGGCCACAAAGCAAAATTGTCTAAATTCAGAAACATTGAAGTTATATCTTTCATTCTCTCAGACCACAAGGGAATAAAATTAGAACTCAACACCAAAAGCCACCAAAGAAAGTCTGGTAACACATGGAGACTGAACAACACACTGCTGAATCACGAGTGGGTCATTGAGATTAGAAAGGGAATTCAAATGTTCATGCTATTCAACAAAAATGAGCACACAAATTACCAGCTCCTCTGGGACACAGCCAAGGCAGTACTCAGAGGCAAGTTTATAGCTCTAAGATCCTATATCAACAAATAGGAGAGATCTGAAACCAACAATTTAATGACACATCTAAACCTCCTTGAAAAAGAGCAGCAAGATAAGGCCCAATACAATAGACAGAGAGAAATAATTAAAATTAAAACAGAATTAAATGAATTAGAATCCAAAACAACTATAGAAACAATCAACAAAACAAAGAGATGGTTCTTCAAGAAAATTAAAAAAATTAACAGACTTTTAGCAAATCTCAGGAGAAAAAAGAAGAGATCACACCCAAGTAAATAAACTCAGAGATGAGAATGGAAACATCACCTTAAGAATCAACCAAGATTCAGAACATTATAAGGGAATACTTCTCAAAACTTTATGCTAATAAGTTTGAGAACTTGGCAGAAATGCACCTTATCCTAGCAAATATTGACATGCCAAAACTAAACCAAGATGAGTTAAACCATCTTAACAGGCCCATATCAAGCATTGAAATACAAAGAGCAATAAGAGATCTCCCAGGTAAGAAAGTCCAAGACCAGATGGTTTTACAGCGGAATTTTACAAGGCCTTCAAAGCAGAGCTCACACCAATACTCCTCCAACTCTTCAATGAAATTGAAAGAGAAAGTTCACTACCGAAAACATTCTATGAAGCCATCATAACCCTCATCCCAAAATCAGGCAGGGACTCATCAAAGAAAGAGAACTATAGACCCATTTCTTTGATGAACATTGATGCGAAACTTCTCAACAAAATTTTGGCCAATCTACTTCAACAATTCACCCAAAAAATCATACAACACGATCAAACAGGATTCA